TATCTTTTTTACATCACATACACTAGTTGTTTTTATTATATACACACAGAGATTTAAAAGGCAAACCTACATATAAGTCACTAGTACTGTCACCATAAAATAGCTAGTTTTCTTTTTTTAGCAAGCACAAAGTGTTAAATGATATGTCCAGATAATAGCAAAATAATTGTTCCAGTTAAAAATCTTTTTTTTCCTTCAATGAATTTTAGAAATTGTTTTGTGCCTTTGAAGAACACTAAACAAACAAAATTAAGTTTCTTCTCATTGTGTTTTAACCAGTATATTTGGATAGTTTACTTTTTAAATTCTCTGCTTAAACAATTGATTAAATTCTATTGAAAATGCACTTTTAAAAAAGGAGTTATGGATATTCAGGGTAAAAAATATGAGTGGAGGTATACCAAAATTTTGGACTAAAGCTACTTTTGTATTATTTTATGCTTGTCCCTGAATTATGTGTCTCCCTCTACAGGTAGGTAACTGTACTAGTTTTATTGCTTCCATAGAAGAACTTGTATTTTCTCCTTAGTCAGCCAACCTTTACTTATCTGAAGACCTTTAGGATATAATTTGTGGAAATAATAAAAACAGCTCTAAATATAAAGACCTGTTCAGTGAGAAATTGGGACAGTATAATTTTAATTTTTGAGTTCATATACAAAATAAAACAATAATGTATCTATTACCAAGAAATCAATATCCTTTAAGATTTCTTTTACTTTCTCCAAAACATACACTTCATGGTGGGGTCAAAAGGCTACCCTAATTTCACTGATAATTTTATAAGGGTATAACTTGGGAAAAAGGGGTCTTGCATTTATTCTCAGTTCTGCTTCTAAGTAGCATTTTTTTTCTCACTGGGACTTAATTTTCTCATTTTTAAAATAGAGAACTTTAAACGCATTTTCTCTCAGTTACATTCTCACCATGAAGATCCTCAATTTAAATACGACTAAAAAATCTTCCCTGGTAGCTCAGAAGGTAAAGAATCTGCCTGCAATGCAGGAGACCCAGGTTAGATGCCTCAGGAAGATCCCCTGGATGCGGGCAGGGCAACCCACTCCAGTATTCTTGCCTGGAGAATTCCATGGACAGAGGAGCCTGGTGGGCTACAGTCCATGGGGTCGCAGAGTCTGACACAACTGAGCGACTAGCAAAGGGACAGAAAATATGGAAATTAAAAACACTGTAAAGAGATATTGTCAAGATGTGACAGGGTCTCATGAGATGGCCACGGATCATTTTTCTTGAGTTAGCTTCGTTTGAAAATGAAATGCTCAATAAGAACTAACCATGTCCTCAAACACAAGGCTCTATACCAAACCAGGGCTCGATGTCACAATGCAGGTATAGCTTGGGCAGCTCTGACTCTCTGCTGCCCTCTCATGTTTCAGCACACTCTTTAGTTCTGCTCTTCACTCAGCTAAGGACCTACGCACGTGAGCCTTGCACTAAGTATGTGTATGTGTGCTCAGTCATCCAGTCATGTCCTACTCTTTGCGACCCTATGGACTATAGCCCACCAGGTTCCTCTGTCCATGGGATTTTCCAGGCACGAATACTGGAATGGGTTGCCATTTCCTCCCCCAAGGCATCTTCCTAACCCAGGGATGGAACCCAGGTCTCCTGCATTGCAGATAGATTCTTTACCACCAAGACACCCAGGAGCTCTGCATGAAGTATAGGGATTCCTAAAGATGTGCTATCACTACTATTTGCAAACAAAATCACAAATTAAACACACAAGTAAAGCTGATACATCATCAATGTCCTTCTTCTCTACACTACCAGTTTTTAAATTAGCTTTAGGATCAAGAGCGAAAAAATGTCAGGCACAGAGTAGGGATGTAGGAAGAAAACTTGGTGAATTACTCATGACAGGCTTCTGTTCCTCATCTAGCTTATCTCCTTGAATTCCTGTAACATCACCAAGAATTAGGAACTCCTATCTCCATTCTTCCAATGAGGGAATAAAACTAATGAGGTTTGCACTCAGGCCCAAAAAGTCACATGCCATCTTTCTGTTATACCACACTGAAGAACAAATAGCTCTTCAGTAGGAAGGCTCTTTTCTAAATGAACATTTGGAAGTTTTATTATTTTTTTCACTGTTACACTGATGTAGAGCTATGTATTTACCTGCTATGTAGAGCAGGAAAATCTGGCAACTAACATGCTTCATCCCTAATGATAAAAATCAAACTTTTCCAACTTTAACTCATGTAAAATGGAATAACCTCCAAGGGGGAAAGGAGTGTTTTTAGTTCTATGTGAGAAAGTTTTAGAAAGAACAATGTGACATATAAAGAGAGTTAAAACTTTTTTAAAACTCAAGAAGTTGATTTATGGAGACTTAACTTTCTTTCCATCTCCCCTAGTTCATATAGAATGAATGCTAGACACAAAAACCACATAAAAACAAGAAGAGAAAATGATGTATTGAGTGCTTATTCTGTGCTGAGAGCATTGCACACATAAACTCATTTATTTAGCAACAATTATATAAAATACGATCATTGTTCTGTAAATGGGAAAACAGGCAGAAAAAGGGTACATAACCTGCCCAGGGGCACATAGCTATCATGATAGAATATGATTTGGATTCTGGATATTCAGAGAAGCCCCTTCCTCCCCTACGAAAGCACACACAACTCCAAGTGCCCCATCAGTGATGCTCTGTGGAGGTGCTCTCCAGGGGTTCTCTGCACCAACAGGACCTTTTGGATCAACGATGAACTTAACTGCATAGAGGAATACACTGTTCCTCAGGACCCATGGATAATTTCTAAGAAGGCCAAGTTCACCTTCAAGGTTGCCGCACTGACTGTTTAACACTCTTCTTTATCCCCGCCAGGGAGTGAACTTGTAGTCAGGTCCCATGCCACTGAGGGAGGAAATTCACAAGCACCACCTTCCCCCTGTGTCTTGTCTTCTAGCGAAGCCTCATGATTTATATTTTTAAGGGCCCACTCTTTCAGAATGAGCTCAGAAAGGAGAACATCCCTTGCTGTTGCCTTTATTCCCCTACCCCCTCATTCAACTTTTTCACCTTAGTTTGCTATGCTTGGGCAAGGAAAAAGGCTTCCATTTGCTAGCCAGTTAATTTCCTGTTGTGCTCTGTGATGAATACAGCTGCATGAAGCACTTAATGACAGCTAATACTTAATGACAGTTAATTAGTCTCCTTTCGTAGATATTTCTATAGCCCACAGCCCCAGGTCAAGATCATGTGGGTACAAATGAGGCCATATTAACCTTGATACCCAGATATCCATGACCCACAGTTCGCTCTGGTATTGCTCCAGGCTTTAGCACTAAGTGAAAACATTTGGGATCTTCTATGGGGCCTCTTATGTATTTAAGACCACTTCTGTGCCTTCTGAGTGGACTGCTCTCTCTTTAATCAGTGCCAGATGCCTGCCATGATGGTCAGTAAGCTGCCCTGACCATGTAGCATCCACCACCTCTTGGTGGACACAAGAGCTTCCACTGGTACCTGCAGCTGCTCTTCTGGGAGGATGCTCTGGGGGGCTGGCTCATATGTATCCTCAAGCTACAGGAGCTTTCAGGGACCAAAATAGCACTGAGTTCTGTACAAATTGCGATGTCAGCCATCTCACTTATTGCAAAGGTGAAGGGGGCTCAGGTCTAGTGCTGGGAGCAAGGCTGGGAACCAGGTTCCAGGCTGGGAACCATGGTGTCTCTCATTAGAGGCGCCGGGTACGTTTGGGCTCTCATATTAAACTGTGGTCTCTGAAGAAGAAATTTCTTACTCAAAGAACTTACTTTAATGTATTAGAATTTCACTTATTGTTCATCTCTTGACCAATAGCAAGAAGAAAACAGGTAAACCAGACGTAGACTATGAAATGCCAGCTGAAAATCATCACCAATAAGATCTTGAAAGATAAACATGGTAAAGAGAACCAATAATGTAATAGTCAACAGAACGCAAGTCTATTTAAAAGACATTCAGGAAAGACCAACATTAACAACTATTCCAGAATCACTTTGATGTGATGACCACAAATGAGCCCAATTGAAAGGTCCTGACTGGACATGATGAAGTTAACTTTCAAGCAAAGTATAGTCACTTAATAACGTAATAATGAGCTCCTCTGCATGTTATGAGCTGGAGTCCAAGGAAGACACTTGAATCAAGTGAAGTGTGGGTCTAGTTTGGAGAATATGTTAATTGTCTTCTGGTAATAATTTTAGAAAACATAGGTTTTCTTCTTCAGGCAATTATTTTAATGAATCAATTGGAGTTTCAAGAAATGATTAAATGAGTTCAAATGTGGTTTCAGGTTCAGCAAAATGAGATCATTTGCTCTGTTTTTGGTTCAGCTGAGGTCAAGCCCCATGTCTAAAATAGACTAATAGGATTTGGAGTAATTTTATTCTTCTGCCCTTTACACCCTTCATCCTTCCATCCACTTCTCTTCCCCAAACATCTGTTCTTTTGATCTCATTGAACTTTCAGCTATTATATAATTACTTCTTCTCTCCTCTCCCAAACTGAATTTAATCTCAACTCTGTGGGTCCAAAGTGGGAGTATTGGAATGGCGTTCCTTCCTACACACAACTGGGGCATTGATTAAACAAGAAGCTAACTTTTATTTATGTATTGACTTTCATTAAACCAAACTAGCATATATTAACAATATGATGATAACACAAGCTCAGAAACAACTTGGTCAACACTTTTAAGGTAATGCTACCTCTCAAGATATAAATGAGCAATGCTCAGTGGAGTAAAGAGTACAAATTTAACTCGTTTTTTTTTTTTAAAAAGGCACATTAGTTAAGTTTTACCAATTGCTTAAAATGGACAGCTTGTGAGATCAATGAGAGAAATGATATGATAAAGAGGAAAGGATTAATTTCTTAAATACTTTAAAACTGCAGAAAAAACTGGTACTATAATAATTAGGTAGAATCTTGGAAAACATGCTTTTTTCCTAGACGTGAAAAGAATAATCTCCCAGATCTTTCTTACCTGTTAGGGTGGCTTTGTTGATGGATGGTTGGTTGCACATGGGTGATCTTCTGACAAAGAGAGAGAAACACAGAGCAGTAAATATGTGATATTTTGTTGGTTTCGGGACTCTCTGAGTCATTTCAAATACACCATTTAAATGTAAGGATTATTTTTAAGTTAGGATAAGCAAATCAAGATTTTTTTCATGCTAGCCAGTCAAATTCCTATACGCCCTTTGTACTACAGTTCAGATAAAAAAAAAAAAAGAAAGTTAAATCTCATTGTGATAGACTTTGGGGTAAATAAAGCTGATGTAAATGTCACAGAGACGTGAGTGAAGAGGAAGTCTTTATTGACTGACCATATTCTATTAAGCCAGGGCTTACAGAGCAAACACTGACTTTCTGAACTTGAAAAAGCAGTGAGTCTACAACTGGTTTCTCTAATGCAATGTTACAAAACTTTTATTTTTGCATAACTTGACATGATTACCTGTACATGATCAGAAGTGAATGTTTCCTTGTAAACTAAATTACACTCAGAGAAGCTGCTTCAACTTTTTCCTATTTTCTTATATTAAGAAACATCTCTGATACATTTGTTAGAGAGGTACATTAACAACTGGCCCAAATGCTGTTGAGATTTTAGAAACACTATAAGGGTACTTAAGTCAATCCTATTTTGTAGTCTCTAATTTTTCAGAGGTTGGTGAAGTTTCACAAAATGATTATAAACCCTTTGGGGTAAAAAAAAAAAATGCTATATGATTAATCTGTATTCTCTGCAGAGCCCAGTACAATGTATTCAGTGTTTAATCAATTATGTTGAAGAAAATATCACTTATGGAATTTTAAATTTTTTTGAAATGTAACGTTATAAAGGTGTTATCACTCTGTGATGGTCTAGAGGAGTGGGGGTGTGTGACAGGAAGGCTAGAGAGGGGATACACACACACTTATGGCTGATCCATGTTGTATGGCAGAAATCAACACAACATTGTAAAGCAATTATTCTCCAGTTAAAAAAAATGAACTCATTACATAATTGAAAGCTCTTAAAATATAGTGATATTTAAAACATTTTATAAAATAGATACACTCAACGATGTCTCAAAAGTGTTTGTTTTCGTCTTAGGGGGTTGTTTTGGTAGTTCTAGTAGTGGCTAACCCTTAATAAGGGCTTAATGTGTGTCTGACATTTTGCTAAAGGAGCACTTTAGACGAATGATCTCATTTAATCCTCACAACAAAGCTTAAGGCAGAGAGTTTCATTGTTCCCATTTTACCAATGAGGAAAACACAAGCTTGGGGAATCTAAAGCTTCTTCAAAGTAAGAAACCTGAGATTTGTAGTGCCAGGGCCCCATGCTGTACTCTGTTGCTTTATTTTTTAGGCAGCTTTTGTGGAACCTCTGCAGATGGCAGGTTCCTGCAGAGCCTTGGTTCAATCTGCCTTCCTGAGATGAATGATCTCTTAGCAGGGCTGGGAGGTACATGGGGAAAGCAGTCTGGTACTTTTTAAATTCCCACTGCCTGGGTTCCAGTCAGCATCTGACTCTGTTTCATTGCTCTTAAATTGACTGATATCAGTTTGGGATTGAAATTTTGCATTCATTTGATTGAAAAATGCACCAAAGTTTACTTCTGAGTCATTTTAGTTTTTATTATGAAACTTAATTAATGCTTCATTAAAAAGAAAGGTTAATGTTTACAACTGCTACTTTGAAATAGTTCTGGTCTATATACCAATAGTCATCTACTTGCTGAGAGTTTATTATTCAAATCATTTATATAATGATTGGGCTTCCCTGGTGGCTCAGTGGTAAAGAATCCACCTGGTAATGCAGGAGATGCAGGAGTTGCAGGTTCGATCCCCGAGTCAAGAAGGTCCCTGGAGAAAGAAATGGCAACCCACTGCAGTGTTCTTGCCTGGGAAATCCCACGGACAGAGGAGCCTGGTGGGCTACAGTCCACAGGGTTGCAAAGAGTTGGACACAACTTAGCGATTGAGTACAGGCACATATAATGATTACTCCTTTTTAGTCCTTCCTCTGTGAAAATTTAGAAAGTATTGATTTTGTCTGGAAAGGTATCAAAGAAATATTTTCTAAAACTTTTCTATAGTTTTGAAAACCAAATCATGGGCTTGTCCCTTATTATCTTCTTTTGATATCAACCCTATAGCTGGCACTTGGGAACTTGATATTTCAACAAGTAACAACAGCAGAAAATATTAATCATTTGATCCACAGCTACAGTGATAAGTCATTTAACAAAGAATGAGCCAGAACTCACTTCTGGAATGGAAAATCTCAAGGGCAAGGAAGAGCAGGGGGACAGGAACCAGCAGCAAGTTAACAAAAGTCAGCTGTGAGCAAGTGAGGGCCTGCAGGGGTAAGGGCTTCAGATATATCCTTCCAAACTCACTTCTTATAGGATTCAGAAATGGTAGATTATGCAAGCTAGTGCAGTGAAAGACTCTCAGTTATGTCCAACTCTTTATGACCCCATGGATTATAGCCCGCCAGGCTACTCTGTCCATGGAATTCTCCAGGCGAGAATATTGGAGTGGGTACCCATTCCCTTCTCCAGGGGATCTTTGCAACCCAAGGATCAAACCTGGGTTTCCTGCATCGCAGGAAGATTCTTTACCAGCTGAGATACCAGGGAAGCCCCTAGCATATGCCTTCCACAAAATCCAAGGGTGGGCTTGGGAGTGTTCTAGTGGCATTGTGAGTACCCAGTGGGGAAATTATGGTTCCCTCAAGTCATGATTTGATGAACCATTTTGCCATATCCATTTTGCTATCACTGAATAGAATAGAGTTTATCTGTGTGTAGATTGAGTCCTACTATTCTGATACCTGAGAAGGCTGATTGGGTTTGGATCCAAAAAGGTACAAATCTGTTCCAATCAAAAGAGAGACTACAAATACCTCTGCGTTCCGTGTGTTCGGTCAAGTCTGACTCTTTGCTACCATATGGACTGTGGCCTGCCAGGCTCCTCTGTCCATGGAATTTCCCAGTAAAAATTATTGGAGTGGGCTGTCATGTCCTACTCCAGGGTTCTTCCTGACCTAGGGATCGAACCCACATCTCCTGTGTCTCTTGCATGTGCAGTCAGATTCTTTACCACTAAGCCACCGGGGAAGCCCAGAAAAACAAGTCTACCAGATAATATTGTTTAATTAGACTTCACCCAGGGCACTATAAGGCAGGTCAAGTTCAGGCATAAATTATGTTTTTCTACCCTCCTCTTAGCTGCTCTTTTCCGTTTTAATCTGTTTTGCCCCTGTGAGTCAGTTGAAAACCTTTGTCTCATATAGAAGAGGCCTCAGATCATCTCTCTGGGGACAGAAAGACTAGCCTGATGCCGTCACGCCTGCTGAACAACTGTCTGCCTGCCCACAGGTACAGACGCTGCTACTCAAATGACCAAGGCTGAAGGAAGTGTAAAAGGAATTAGTCACAAAGCCTCTTGTTCACCTTCCAAAGACAAAAATCTCAATTTCCTGGACAAAAATTGAGGCTGAAAAGTTTGGAAGGGACACCAGTGACTTCATTCCTCCTGCAGAGCTGCAGCATTCCAAAGAGAAGGTGGTAGAGCTTGGGGGCCGCCGAATGCCAAAAGCACCAAGGGAGCCACTGAACACGGAGGACATGTTTGGTGACGAACAGGCAACTCAAGACATACCCTCAGGTTTCCCAAGCTGGGTTTCTGTGTCGCCCTGCCAGCCATCACGCACGTGCAGAATAATGCCTGTGCTGGGTATTACACCGGGCACTGGGAATTCAAAAACGAACCAGATACAACCTCTGCTTTCTGGGACCCAAAATTCTTAAGCAGCTTTCAGAGAAGAGAACAGGCAACTGGAATACTGAGAGGAATGTACTAAAACAGAGGTGAAGGACAGAAGGTGATGGATAGGCGTACCACCCGGGTTGGGTCCTGTGGGTGTGGATACATGTGGGGTGTTACTTAGAGATAGTGCCCCAAATGAAATTATATCTTAAGTTGTAACCTAAAGAATGAATTACAGTTAGCCCAGTGGATGAAGAGGGGAAGAGGGAGGTGAGAAATGCTTAGCCTGAGGGAAAAGAACTGCAAAATTTCATTACCTGCAAAACGTGAAAATCAACTGAAGCTTCTGAGTTCCATTCCAGTTATTTGTATTGTGGCATTTATACTGATATTTTAATTTAAACCTTGTTCTGTCACAGAAAATAAGGGCATAATGGCCAGAGCTTATTTTAATCACAGGAAATGTGAATTTGGGAGGTGGATTCTGCTATTATGGGATGGAAAGTTTAGATTTTGTGTGTGTGTTATGAAGTAGTAATTACAACAAAATTTTATATGCATAGATAAGTTCAAATACATTTTTAGTCACTGTCCTCATAATATTGATTTAAGGAATTTTTTTCCTTGAAAATTCTTCAGAGTTGATATTTTAATGATAATATTATATTATTCATAATGTTGTTGTTGTTTAGTCGCTATGTAGTGTCCATGGACTGTAGCCCACCAAGCTCCTTTGTCCATGGGATTTACCAGGCAAGAATACTGAAGTGGGTTGCAGGGGATCTTCCAGACCCAGGGATTGAACCTGAGTCTCCAGCTTGGCAGGTGGATTCTTTAGCACTGAGCCACCTGGGAAGCCCTCATTATTCATAATAGGTTATCACAATAATGGCATGTGAATAACTAATCAGTTTTCCATTTAATCTTGAAAAATTAATTTTCTTTATTTTTTCATTTCCCGTCTTTATTAGAAGCCCCCCGAGTTATAATTATTTTCCTTCTCATCTTTCTCTCTTTTAAACACTTCCTTCCCCTGTCATCCCATAAATCCCAGTTTTGTTAACTGTTCCATGCTGCTAATGATCCGAGTCAGTAACAGCCGGAGAATTAGAATCTTCCCTGTGATATGAGTCTTCCCTGGTGGCTGCGACGCTAAAGAATCTGCCTGCAGTGCAGGAGACCTGGGTTCGATCCCTGGGTCAGGAAGATCCCCTGGAGAAGGGAATGGCACCCCATCCCAGTATTCTTGCCTGGAGAATCTCGTAGACAGAGGAGCCTGGAGGGCTGCAGCCCACAGAGTTGTAAGGAGTCAGACACGACTGAGAGACTAAGACACACACCTGTGATATGAGGCTTCCCCAAGGAATAGTTGTGCCAGAATTAAGAGGATGCCTTTGGGTTAACTTCAAGTCTTGATGACATTATTTGTCAATGGTTAATTTATGAAGTAAGCCCAAACTACAAAGTTACCCTGCGTATAAATGACTAGACAGAGGACTGATTATGCCAGGTGATCTCTGACAGATGGAATCACTGTATTTATTTGTCATCCTGATTCTTTTCTGATATGAGAACCATCACTACAAAGTATTTATAGAAAATTAACAGGACTTCATATGACTTAGTGTAAATGGTTAGACACCAAGGCCATGATTCAGAGAAATCTAATATATTGCCTTGAGTTCAAGCAAACTGAGAAAACACTTTAAAAGGTGAGCTGGAAGGTGGGGGTAAAAAGAATAACTTACTTGCTAGGTGCTCGGTCTTGCAAATTAGTCAAAGCAGCAAAGTTGTTTCGAACAGTTCTCAGGCTGGCCAAGACCTACAAGAAAAAAGGATTACTTAAACTTCTTGAAATAAGGCCCTCTTCAATGCAATATGAAACAGTTTGGTGATTTTTAAAAACAGTTTGCTAAGTGAAAGTTTAATATTGCTTGCAACGTAGCTTCATATAGTACTCAAGAATCTCCCAGCACCTGGTGAAGGTGACATGGATCTATCTGAAATCCAGAGAGGCCAGACTTATGGATTTTCCAGATATTAGTCTGCACTGTCTACAAATATGGTGACATTAGCAGTAGTTTCCACAATATTACTAGATTCCCCAGTCAGTAAAATAGTATCCCAGGGAATATACATAGAAGGCTGCTGTTGCATCTTATATAAATTTGAAATCACATCATGTAAAATATTCAAGTCTCATTTTAGGTTAAAAAATGTAAAACAAAATTCTCCTCAATATCTTCACCAAGAAGGCCAGTCTTGAAGTCAGCAAACTGAGTATACTTTAAATCGTTTTCTCCCCTTTACCACATAGCTATTTTAGTAAACAGAGATTCTTTTCTTCATTAAGGTTATCTGAATCATGAATTCTAAGGTCTCAAGCAAAATGAGACTGCCCTGGATGCGCACAGTGCCTGGCCCACAGAAGGTACTCAAGACAAATTTGTTGAATAAATGAGTATATGGACAACGAACATATCCATGTACCAACGGGTTCCACTATCTCTAATAACTCTTCCTTTTTCTACTTATAGTGAAACTATAAAGTGGCAAACGAATCTGAAGACCAGAAGAGAGAAGTGACAAGAGTACTGTATCTCCGTCTACCCCCTCACTTTCTCCTAGAATGGACAAGTCCCCCTAGGGTGGAGTCTTTATTAGGTGAGATTATGGGTCATCTGGGGGACAACCAGCATGTTAAGTTTATCTAGAGCATAGATTTCAGATGTCTTATTAGGCACCACACAACAACCCAGATTGCCTGGCTCTCTGACATAGTCAATGTGTGAACTTACAAAATTCTGTCATCTCTTTGACCCTAAGTTTCTCATCTGTAAACCAGTATAGTAACATGTGGACTCCCCTGATGGCTCAGATGGTAATGAGCCTGCCTCCGATGCAGGGGACCTGTGTTCAATCCTTGGATCGGGAAGATCCCCTGGAGAAGGGAATGGCAACCCACTCCAATATTCCTGCCTGGAGAATTCTATTGGCAGAGGAGCCTGGAAGGCTACAGTCCATGGAATTGCAAAGAGTCGGACATGACTAAGCGACCAACAGGTTTTACAGTAACATCTGGGCTTTCCAGGTGGCCCAGTGGGTAAAGAACCTGCCTGCAAGGCAGGAAACACAGGCGATATCGGTTTGATTCCTGGGCTGGGAAGATCCACTGGAGGAGGGCATATCAACCCTCTCTAGTATTCTTGCCTGGAGAATTGTATGGAAAGAGGAGCCTGGCGGGATACAGTTTACGGATTGCAGAGTCGGATATGACTGAAGCGACTGAGCACACACGCATGCATAGTAACATCTACGTCACAGAGCTGCCGTGAAAATGAAGTGACATGGCAGGTTGGGTGCCAAGAACAATGCTCGGCAAACAAGAGGCGCTCAGTGAATATTGGCCCATTATGGCCACAGTCTATGTAATGATTTGGTGTGTGTGTAGGAAACTGACTTAAGGCCTATCACTGACAATACACTGGCGGGGTGGGAGGGGCACATTTTATATAACTGCTCCAAGAGTTCCAGAACTGTTTCCAGAATTTTGTCATTTGGCACTGACCTAAAGTCAGTCTAAATTTTAAGACGAAAATATCTCAGATATTTTTGAAACTGGCTTTAATTCTTTTAAGTTCCTGGGAAACTGTTTATGCCCTGGGACAGTGACTTCCCAGGTGGCTCAGTGGTAAAGAATCTGCTTGCCAATGAAGGAGACTTAGGAGACGAGAGTTCGATCCCTGGGTCAGGAAGATCCCCTGGAGGAGGAAATGGCAACCTGCTCCAGTATTCTTGCCGGAAAAATCCCATGGACAGAGATGCTTGGCTGGCTACAGTCCATGAGGTCCCGGAGTCGGACACGACTGAGCATGCACAGGGAGTGACCTACAGCGTTAAGAGTTAATGACGCTTTCTAAGGTGCCAATCACGATTAACTCAGTCACTGGAAAAATCTGGCTCATTATCACATATAAACAACTCACGGTGCTGAAAGGTCATGCTGCCTATGACAAAGTATTCAAATAGCCAACTGCTGACATCAAACCATGATGTCTTTTATTAAGCATGAAATCTTGAATGATGCAGAAAGAATTCTGACAAATGATCCACTGTCATTAAATCATGCAAGCTGAATTTATGCTTTAAAAATTGAATATCAAATACAGTAATAAAGCATTTTGAATAAAATTATTACACACCCTCCCCAGTTGATCCTTGTTCTAGGCAAAATGTTAACTTCAGAATTCTGAGAACTTCATTTTTAATAAATTATAGTAAGTGCACTGCATCTGACAGCTGGACAAATAGAAATAGTATCACAGGTAATTGATGTTCTATGCTCACTTGAAAGCAAGCATTACTTCATGAAAGACATACTCCACTTGCTTTTCTGTGTAAAGGTTTTTGCCTCCGTTATACTAAAGATATTAAATTAGATATTTTACTGTTTTTTAAATTTAAATTTAATTTTTAAATTTTGTATTTATTTTTGTATATTCTGTATCTTCACATGGCACAAAGTTTAAACAAAAGTAAACTGTCTCCTTCTCAATAACAAAGATAAAAATCAAAATTATTATATCTGAGAGGAGGCAGATAGATGCACTCTGGCAGGCACACTCAGGGCACTAAAACATTGGCACTGTTCTATTTCTTAAACTGCTGATTTTTATTCTTATATTTTAGAAAGTCACTAGATAATTTCTCTTATATGATGAAATATTTCAAAATAAAAAGTGAAGAAAGAAATTTCCCTTTTAGCCCCTCCTCCAATCAGCTGCCTGTCCCCTCTCCTCACTGACTTTTTATTTTTTAATTAGAGTATAATTGCTTTACAATGTTGTGCTACTTTTTGCTGCACAACAAGGTGAATCAGCTCTAAGTATACCCCCTCCTTGCTCAGCCTCCTCCCACCTCCCCATTCCACCCCTCTAGGTCTTTATAGAACATGAGCTGAGCTCCCTATGCTATATAGCAGCTTCTCACTAGCTATTTATATTATACACAGTAGTGTATATATGTCACTTGTTGACTTCTAGATTGTCTCCTAAATTTCACTTTTACAAACATTGCCACAGTAAATAAGCTGGTAGCTGTATCACTCCCCATGGGTGCAAGTATTACCTTATTTTTCTTGTAGTAGGCAAAGAGCAGGGCAGATAGTAGGGCAGAAAGTGAAGAACTAAAGAACCTCTTGACGAAAGTGAAAGAGGAGAGTGAAAAAGTTGGCTTAAAACTCAACATTCAGAAAACTAATATCATGGCATCCAGTCCCATTACTTCATGGAAAATAGATGGGGAAACAATGGAAACAGTGACAGCCTTTATTTTGGGGGGCTCCAAAATCACTGCAAATGGTGACTGCAGCCATGAAATTAAAGATGCTTGCTCTTTGGAAGAAAAGTCATGACCAATCTAAACAGCATATTAAAAAGCAGAGAGATTACTTTGCCAACAAAGGTCTGTCTAGTCAAAGCTGTGGTTCTTCCAGTAGTCATATATCGATGTGAGAGCTGGGCTATAAAGAAAGCTGAGTGCTGAAGAATTGATGCTTTTGAACTGTGGTGTTGGAGAAGACTCTTGAGAGTCCCTTGGACACCAAGCAGAACCAACCAGTCCATCCTAAAGAAAATCAGTCCTGAATATTCATTGGAAGGACTGATGCTGAAGCTGACACTCCAATTTTTGGCCACCTGATGCAAAGAACTGACTCATTTGAAAAGACCCTGATGCTGGGAAAGATTGAAGGTGGGAGGAGAAGGGGGATGACAGAGGACGAGATGGTTGGATGGCATCACCGACTCCGTGGACATGAGTTTGAGTAAACTCTGGGAGTTGGTGATGGACAGGGAAGCCTGGCGTGCTGCAGTCCATGGGGTCACAGAGTTGAACACGACTGAGCGACTGAACTGAACTGAACTGAGGGCAAATAACATTTTATAATGTTATATTAAGCATTGACTATTATCTTCTGCACCATGACATTTATGACACCAGCAGAAGTGTAAATAGAAGTGCCAATCAAATCTTATAAGAGCCAAGTTCAGTGATCCTGGGTGACACAACCCAAAGGCATTATGTTAGACTTCTCTGTTCTCACTGGCATTGGAGGACACAAAGAGTGAAGGATCTGCTACTCCAGGTTACAGGGGAAGAACCAGAAACAGTTTCACACAAGCCACTGAGTCAGGGTTTAATTATTCTTCACTTTTGTTACAGAGCAGCTCTCATGGCCCTTGAATTCAACCCTTTAAGAGCTGTAGTCAGAGCTCTAACACTCCGATAGTTTTCTCGTCAGTCTTTACTGATTACTAACCAAAAGGTCCCTGAGGTTTTTCTCCCACATTAACAGTTCAATGGTTACAAAATCAGGGTCATTTCTTCTTCTTCTGGCCCTCCAAGCAAAAGCATAATGATTCAAGGTCAAAATACATTGGGAAAGAGGAAAACACTTTAGAAAAGATAATTAGGACACTGATATGGAAAATTTTCCACACAGTTGTATTGGCCTGTAAAAGGGATCAAATGTTATTTACACACATTAATCGAAGACTTTCTTGGGGTTTTTTTCTTTGGCTGCACCACACAGCATGAAACATCTTAGTTCCCTAACCCCTACTCCCTCTGTTCCCTGCAGCAGAAGGGAAGAGCCTTAACCACTGCACTTCTGGGAGAAATCCCCTTTCTTAGGAATTTCTCAACATTTATTAACCAACAAGATTCTCTGAAAATGGCAGACCAAAGTGGATTTCATTAAAAAGTTAAACATCTGAACGTACTCACATAAAAGGAATGTGTACTTATATATTAATAATTTCT